CTAAACCCCGAAACCCTCAACCCTCAACCCTAAACCCTAAACCCTAAACCCCTAAACCCCTAAACCCACTTAGTTGCACATGCCGCAGAAGGCCCAAAGACCATGTACCTATGGGGGATACTTTGGATACTTCAGCAATGTAGGGTTTGGAGGTTTAGGGTTTGGGGTTTAGGGTTTAGGGTTTAGGGTTTGGGGGAATGATTGCTAGTGTAACAGCCATACTCTCTACGGTTGGGCAGGTAGAGATTGAGAAAATGGATCCAGACAAGCAGGTCGACCGGCCAAGATCGACTCGGCAAAACGGTGGATAGACTTCTACCCCCAGGGTTCATGTACATATGTGCTGCATGATGTACTTTGGCACTGAATCACCTATACAAAGGCCAAATGTAGTAGGAACTGGATTTAAGAACCGTAATTTTATGACACCTCAACCTCATCATGTTTGGGGTGCCCCTCTGAGGTCCGTGCAAAGCGGTGTGGCCGGAGGCATCTGCGACGTTGAGGGTTCCGGCCGCCTTCGTCGCAGAAGCTCAAATCCCTAAACGTGCAATCGACACCACAAAAATAGGGTTTAAAGTAGATCCTGCATAACCCGCGACATCTAAACCCTTACCTGCCAACCCTGAATTGGACGACAAATGGGGCCATGCGGTTCCTACTATATTCTGGGAACCATAAGAGTTTAGGGTTTAGGGTTTAACGGTACTACTATTGGGACCATAAGAGTTTAGGATTTAGGGTTTACGGGTCCATGTTCCCAAATAGTATATACTCTCGGCACCAAAATATCTTTCTGGGGACTGCCTTTTAAAGGCCAAAGTCTAACTATGGTTATAACCCATACTAAGGGACTTCTAACCCTACTTATAAGTACCCATGAACCTCCAAGAGGGTCCTTTAGATATTGCAGGATTTATAAACCGTAGCGAAAACCCTCCAGATCCGGCCCCCCAACCTTGGCGGCGGTAAGAGCTGCCTGGAAAGCCACAGCACGGGAATCCTTGCCACCTCGGGGGTCGTTAGCGGTTCAAGGGTAAAGTTTCAGAACTTAACTCTGTTATTATGAAGGTTTAGGGATTTAGGGTCTGGGGTTTAGTTGAAGCCCGGTTTAGGGGTTTAGGTTTTAGGGTTTAGTTGAAGCACGCAAACCTACAGCACACCCCAAACCCTTACACGGTGATGTGCCCAGAAGTATGTGGTTCTTCTCCTGTTGGACTCTTGGAGCAACCTCGTTGTCAAGTCAACTTTAGGGTTTAGGGAGTTTAGGGATTAGGATTTTCGCTCTCTCTTCGTCAACTGAACTTTGGACTCTGTCGATACAGAAAACAAACTTTCAACAGAACAGGTACCCTAAACCCTAAACACCAAACAGTGGATCTTCTGACTTTGAGGCTTTCTGTGGTTCGGAGCCGGGGTCTCGGGGGAATCTTTCCGGGTTTAGGGTTTAGGGTGACTTATGCGCAGCTCCAGGGTGATAGGCTTACGGGCTAGTCGTTCAACCCTAAGCCCCAAACCCCAAGCCTTGAACCGTAGCTCATGGCTCCTGTGCGGAAGAACCATCAATTGAGAATAATTGGGATCTGAATCGCTTCACCGACCCCTGAGCAGTCGAACGGATTGGGATAATGTAGGGGCCACGACATTTATAGAATAGGGTTTTGGGGTAAATTATACTATAGCTAGTAACTATAATAAGGAACCCCCAAAATAGTTTACGTAATTGTTAAGGCCGCTGTATTGACCTGGTTCACGTCGTCGCCGTGCGGATCAAGAAATGAGGACGTGTTGTCTAGGGATTCGGGCTTGCGATGTGGAGTTGGCTCGTCAGTACAGGTTTTGCAAGCAAGGACACTGTGCTGAATCATAGCTTCATTAAAACACAATTCTCGAACTCGCAAGCATACACCCACAACCTCAAACCCAAAGCTTTGCTCCAAAGTTGTGATGCGGTCATCCTCAAAACAGCGAGCACTGTGCTTTCCAAAAACCCTCACATACAAAGTATTGACGCTTGAAATCCTACATCCTAAACCCGAAAACCTACAGTGACTGGCACCATGGAACCATACGGTTGATGATATACATCCTGCATGACCCATCATCACGAATATACCATAATTCCCATAGTTTGGTGTCCTTGCGGTAGTGCTAAACCCTAAACCCTAAACCTTATAGATCCCTTCAAAGGAACCCTTTAGTTAAGGCAATGCAGGATATATATATATATATATATCTCATCAACCCTAAACTCTAAACCGTAAACCCTAAACCCTAAATCAAGAGTATTCGCCTTCGCGAAGCTGTCCAGACCAATTGCTGGGGCCGCCTGTCCAAAGCAGATCCAGAGCTGGACTTAGGGTTGAGGGTTCTAGGGTTTAGGGTTTAGGGTTTGGGGTTTAGGGTTTTTGGGTTTCGGGTTAAGGGTTTAGGGTTTTTGGGTTTAGGGGTTTAGGGGTTTAGGGGTCAGGGTTTAGGGTTATAAGTAGGGCGATAAGTCCTTTAATATGGGTTATAACTATAGTTACTCTAATAAAAACCCCGCTTAGAACTACCCATGAACCTCCAAGTAGGGTTCAGGCAGGCTTTGTTTTGTAGGGACCCCCCCTGTTTGGGGTGGAGGCTTATTCGGGTTGAGGGTTGGGGGTTTGCGGTTTTAGGGTCCGGAGCTCCTCGAACGGCACCTTGAAAGGGGTCTATGAGGGCTCTATCATAACTATGAGGGTGAAGGGTTTAGCTTTCAGATGCTACTGGTACCAGGTTGAGCATCGGTTCTAAGAATAGAGGCTCCAGACATGTGATTGCATGGGTGGGGTATCGGACTCGTTGAGATGCATGTTCAAGTCTTATGTTCAAGCTTCGGGGTGCCAAACAAGATTCAAGGACAATGGCTCTGGGGCATGCGTGGATCCGGGTGCTAGGGATGTATGAGGATGTTCGTACACTTGGGATTCGCTTTTTTGACAGGAGCTGCGGAACACGGCAGCAAAGTGAGACGGCAACATTCACGAGAGCGGTCCAGGACTAGTTTTGCATGTAAGGCACTCAAAACCAAACGCACAAGCTCAAAACTCCAACAACCCTGGATGGACTAAACCTAAACCCCAAAACCCTAAACCTAAAGTGCATAGTTCAGCTCTGCCTGCAGTGGCAAGGTGCAGGGCAGTGCGCCCATCAAACCTTGGGAGCAGAAAACCAAATCTACCTGTAGTCTCCACTGTGGGGTTTAGGCATGAGGGTTTAGGGTTTGGGGTAGTTCCTGTTGAGGGTTAATTTAGGATCCTTAAAATAAAACCGTCGGGCTCAAAATGGCCCAACAGATGTATGAGCATGGTTTGTGGTCCCAAAAGCCTTAAGACATGAGTCCTTACTTAGAGAACTAGATAAACCAAAACAGGAACTACGTTGGAGACTATAGGTGTGGCTGACCAGCCCGAAGAGCGTTTCAGGGTTCAGGGTTTAGACTACCAGATTGGCAGGAAAGGGCTTAAGGTTTGCAGTTGATGGCTCACTTATGTAGGGTTTAGGGTTCGTAGGCCGTCTCCCAAAACGACATAATTCTCTTGGCAATAAAACCTGTTGTTGCAGCTGTTGCTATTTCTGCTACTGGGTAACACTGGCAATTGAAATGATTGCTACCACCACTGGTCGCCAAAATTAAACAGTCGGTCACAGCCGTCACGAGGAACCACAAGTCACTAGTACTGCTAGCTGGTACTACAAGTTCGGGTAGTACTGGCACAGCAGAAGTTCTCCGCCTCCTCCTCCTGCTGATGCTGTTGCTGCGGCTGCTGCTACTGCTACGGCACTGCTACGGCTACGGGCTACTATAGGGGCCTTAATGATTACCTATACTATTTTGGTGGCTCCTTATTGTAATTATAGTATAGTATTAAAACCCTATTCTAATTACTAGCGTTGGGGTTATCTCACATCAGCTGGTGAGTATACACATCAATGTCGGCAGACGCTGGTTTTAGGAGAATTGGGGAAAATACACATCAGCGGGGAAATTACACATCAGAACTAGCTAAACCCCATGTAGACGCTGGTTTCGGGAAGCACGCAGCAGATAGGCCAAAGTGCGGGATTTGTTGCGGACGCTGAGGTATATACTACATTTGGAAGCCATCT